CTCTTCACTCAAGACACGTTATTTCTTGTTTCGAGATATCTGATCTCACTTGAACTAAAAACACTTTATTCAATAGCCGACTGACTGACTGACCGACTGACTCGGAATCTTTGGGCTCTCACTTGAGCAATTTTCACACATGATCGACAAGTGAATTAAAAGCGACAATAAAAAAACAGAAACAATTTCGTCCTAATTAGGACACAACTTTCACACAATGAGAGGAAAGCAGAAAGAAAATGAAACCCAATGAACAACAGTTGCCTTATATAGGCTTTAACACAAGATACTCAGCTAACAAGCTAGAAAACAATAAATGATTTGGGGCGCGAAATAGAATGAAGGCGCACCGATTTCCTCAATATTTTTCCAATTTTTAGGCTGCCAGAGTTAGGTAACTTTTTAGTGGCTATTCGCCACAAGACTTTCAATAGGTGAAGGAAGTTTCGAAATCATCCAAACAAACTTCTTTTCCTTTCTTCTTTGTTAACAAATTTGTAGAAAGTTTTAGTTTTGTTTGGCTCATGTTACTAGAGTGATGTCTTCTCTTTAGCCCTTCTTCCTACACCTACACAAATCCTATTCGAATTTCTAAGGCTACAAATAAAAAGATTCATTTGTTAGAAATAGAAACTAAAATAGAAACTCTATTCTAGAAAAATTTGACCTTGATGCAGTCAATTTTATTTTAGGAAAAACAAATTTCCAGAGTCATTTCTCAAAGCCTTTTTTGTTCAATCATCTTTAAGAACAAAAATCCATTTGTTTCCTTTCCATTCTATTTATTTCCTTTCCATTCTATTTATTTCCTTTCCATTCTATTTATTTCCTTTCCATTCTATTTATTTCCTTTCCATTCTATTTATTTCCTTTCCATTCTATTTATTTCAATTTGTTTCACCGATCCATTCTATTTGTTTCAGTCAAGTCATTCAAGTCAAAAAAAAAAACATGCAATTCTACCAAAAAGACTTTAGTTTTAAAATCAAGAATTTCCGTGTGATTTCTCCTTTTTTTGACAGGAAGTCGAACGAGTAGAGTGAGTCGGGGATTTCCTACACGTTCTTGTTTGCCAAAAGAATTTTCGTGCGGAGTGCATGTGAAGATCGAGTTTCTTTCAAGATACCTAAGGGTTTGCAAAAGAAATTAATCTTTTTGTCAAGCTGTAAAAGCATTTTTGTTTAAACTATCTAAATCTATAGGTTTTCTACATTCACCAGAAATTTCTTATTGACTAGTGTCCTGGAAATGCCACTTGATACTGTAAAATAGTCTCCTCGCTAACAAGGGAAAGGTACTGAGTCAAGCTGGCTAGCTGGCTTTGTCCATCTTATAGAATCTTGTAGAATCATCCACCAAATCCATCTTATAGAGTCGGTCATCGGGATCTTGAATTTGTTTTTAGTTTTTGCAGAACGCTTCGCAAACGCGAGATGTTTGAAAAACTTTGAAAATCTTAGAAAATCAAGATAGAAAATCGAGATAGAACCTTGATTTTCAAACTGCGAGCTCCTTATGAGGCCGTCACCGTCCAATAAATGTTTAGGTGGTCCAGTGGGTAGCCTGCCGAACCTGTTACAATTTTCGCGCTCAAGTTCGAGTCCCATTCTGTAGCTTTCAGCTGTAGCATGGGACTCGAACTTGAGAGCTTTCAGCTGTAGCACCTGTAGCTTTCAGAAATGTGGCAACAAATGTCGAATTTTTCACTGCTTATCTATTGATTCTTATACTTTGGAAGGTCCCAGCTTTTGTAAATTATTAATTGAAGTTACAGAATAAAGAATAACCCCAAGGTAGTGCTCTCATTTTGTACTTTGGGATTCCCAAGAGACACAAGAAGATTATCATAAGTCTACTCTGCACAAATGTCTACTGATGCACTGTATTTTGACTAGCTTAATCCTTACCAGTCTAAGCTTCCAATCTTTCCAATAAGTTGATCTCAATACTCTTCTTAATACTCTTCTTAATACTCTTCTTCAATACTCTTCTTTTTTTCGAATTTTTTAATGCTTATCCATTGATTATTATACTTTGGAAGGTCCCAGCTTTTGTAAATTATTAGTTGAAGTTACAGAATAAAGAATAACCCCAAGGTAGTTATGGTGTATAAAATTCGAGTCAATAATTTAATGCAAATATGTAAAGAAACTGTTTTTTAAAAAAGCGAAAGAAGTTGATCTCAATACTCTTCTTTTCTTCACGTATTTCTTCAAACATCCACTTATAGTGGGTATATAGTGGGACCCGGACTTGAGGCCGATAGTGGGACCCGAATTTGAGGACAAAGAATGTAACAGGTACGGCAGTCTAGCAGACTATCCACTAGACCATCGGAGCAGTTGTTAAGGCAGCGTGTGACGGCGGCCAAATTTAGATATCTCGCGTTTGCAAAGCGTTCTGCAAAAACGAAAAACGGATTCGAGTTCCGACTCTATAGGATGGATTTGGTCTTAAGTCAAAAGCCCAGCTTGACTCAGTGCCTTTCCCTTGTAAGTTGAAATAGAAATTTACTATTCTTTCATATTAGTCGCCTAGCAGACCTGGAAGTGAGAGTTGATCTCCCATTGACCCCAGCCCACATCTTCGCCTTTTAGCTTCTCTTTTTTTGTAAGAAATCACAAAATGTGCTTATTTTTGACTTATTCACGGCTTCCGTCATCAATTTCCTTTTTTTCATTCCTTTTCTTCCGATAATTTCTATTGGCCTATCCCACTCACTTTTTCGGCTTTGCCCCCTTCATCGTTCCTTTCTTTCCCTCTTTTCCTTTCAAGTATCGCCGCACAAAAAAGGATAACAAACCTTTTTCTGTTATGAAGCTAATTCAAATATATTCAACCTGGCTAATTATGGATTAGTTCTTGGAAGAATTGACCAAAACAAGTGATTTTTGAAATAGCTTCAAGCTAGCAGCAGATATAAAGCTTCAAGTCTTTCATTTGCCCAATGCCATTTGCCCAATGCCCAATGATGATTGCATTTCATTTTCTGATAATATCTCTAGCTCTTAATATTAGGCAAAAATTAGAATGAGAGGCAAAACTAGAAGATTAACCTTTAGAAATAGAAAAATGTGGGTGCCAAGAAATTTGCGGACTACTTACAATGAAACAATGAACCATTCTTTCTCGACCAATCTTTCTCCATTGTATTCTTCACTCACAATATCTAATATATGCTCAATCTGGGTTCTTATTTGCTACAAACATTTCAAATTTTCCTTCTTTGATCTTTCATTGTTCTGTGAACACTTGGCTGTAATGGGATTTATCAAAAATTCCTTCGTCCAAGAGTTTTTGGCCTCAAAAGCATTTTGTTTGAAAAGAACAAGTGAGTTCGGGCAGAAAATCGAAAAGGTGAGAAGGTGGAAACTGAATTCTGAACGTTTGATGTGCTGAAAAAAAAGGGTTGATGATCTTTGGAAGCGTTAAAACACGTTGAAGATATCCCTGGACTTTGTGCTATCGTTAAACCTTTGTTAACTTTGTTAGCTTTGTTAACTTTGTTAGCTTTGTTAACTTTGTTAGCTTTGTTAACTTTGTTAACTTTAAACCTTTGTTAACTTTGTTAAAATCGTTTAAACTAATCTTTGTACAGACATTATCGAACAAAATCCCATTGATTTTTCAAGATTCGTTCTATTTCTCTTGTCACTTTCATCTTGATGAGTGTTTTCTCGTCTCAAATTTGTTGACTCAAATCTCTCCTTTACTCAACATTCTGTGGAGGAAAGGTGGTTTCTTGATGAAAAGAAAAGAGGTGAGAAATACTGTTCATTTCATTTCATTTTCTTTTTTTTTCTTTTTTCAAGATTTTTCCAACTCCTTCATTTCATTTTTTTTCTTATTTCATCTTCAATCTTTCGTGTCTTAAACCACAACACTTCTCAACTTACACTCAAAGAAAAACAAGAAAAAGACAGTCTCGTACAGAAAAAGATAGTCTCAAAGAGTTAAAGATCTTTGATTTTTGAAGGTCATCCAGGTAACTTCTTGTGAATTCTTTTTCTTTTTTATTTCTTCTTCTTCTTCTTCTTCTTCTTCTTCTCTTCTTCTTCTTCTTTTTCTTCTATGAATTCTTTTTCAAAACATGATTTGCACCAGACAAAGAACTAAAAACAATCCACAAGGTTTCTAGGGATTATGAGTCTTCGCTTGCTTACGAAATCCCTTCTAGGAAACATATGATCGGATTTTCTATTGTCTAGAGAGAATTTTGGCCTCTTTGAGGCTCTTTTGGTCTCTTTGAAAGTTCTTGTAACATTGTAGCAAATCATTTGACTTTTATCAGGTAAAATAAAGAAAAGTACAGGAAAATCATAGCAGAAAACTTCAAAGTTTATAGAAAAACAGGGATTTCGGCTTTCTTTTCTTTTTCTTTTCTTTTTCTTTTCTGTTTTTTTGCTCGTTTTTCTGTTTTCCACCCACTTTCCTCAAAAAATTCTCTTCACGGAACGAATTTTTGTATCAGATTTTTTCATCATTCCGTGTCTTTTCCACCTTTTTTCTCACCAAATTTATGGATAACGAAAATTTGAAATTTCAAAGGGCCAAATTAAGATCCGATTGCTTTTTGAGGCTTCCGGTTTTCTCATATCAATCAAAGCTTTGTCTCTCCTAAAGTTTTCAAACGATAAACAATTGCCTTTATTTATACCGTATTTCTTCGAATAGAAGACCGGGTAAAGAGTATCATCGCGTACTCCTGCGTAGCAGCCCTTTTTAAAATTTCTTTTCTGCATAAAAGCTTTCAATGAAGTGCTATAGGGCTGGAAAATGACTCAAAAATACCACATGAGCTAACAGATTTTTGAGCCATTTTTCAGCCCTATAGCACTTGATTGAAAGCTTTTATGCAGAAAAGAAATTTTAAAAAGGGCTGCTACGCAGGAGTACGCGATGATACTCTTTACCCGGTCTTCTATTCGAAGAAATACGGTAAATGAAGTTTCATTTTCATTAATTTTAGCTTTTAATTGATTCAAAGAATGTCATTTCAGATGAATTCAAATGGAACGGGCCTTGAACTGACAACACAAAGCTTTGTCGATGCTGGAGAAGATGCAGCACTTCGACATATGGTTTGTGAAACTATAAATGATAGAATATATTGATATAAATGGTATGATATGATATTTTTTTTAATTTCAGGTAAAAATGGGAGCGAACGTCGCGTGGGGAATCGCGATGGCCATTGGAATACCCGGAAATTTATTTGTCCTTTTCGCCATTCTCTATTTCAGGTATGATTAGTGCTTTTGCTTTGGGAATGATTATCAGTTTTGATTTCAGAGATATGCACACAATATCAAATGTCTATATCTTCAATTTGGCTGTGGCTGATCTCCTCTTTTTGGCCGGAACACCAATTTTGATCGTTCAATCATTGCAACAATCATGGACATTTGGAGCTGCTGTTTGCAAGATTTATATCATTGGAAATGGGGTGAGTGAAAAGAAAAGCAAATCGAGAAAATAATGAGTCATCATGTCCTTTAGACATCATATCCTTTAGATCTCCCAGTTCGCTTCCCCAGCTTTTATCGCAGTTTTGTCGTTGGATCGGTATTTGGCTGTTTGTCGACCTGTTACATCTGGTAAGCAAAGGAAAAGAAGGTTTTGAATAGTGTAGGGTTTTAAATACCTTCTTGGTGTAGCTTTTGTGTAATTGAGTTTGGAGTGTAAAGATGTTTGTGTAGCTTTTTACCTGAGCTTTCCTTCACAATCGACACCTTGGTGAAAGAAGGAGTGCTCTGAAACGGATAACCTGAGATGTCATTTTTTTTGTAGAAGTAATACAATAGTTTATCAGTTACAGTACCAGTGAAAAGAGATCATTAGTTGGAATTGTTAATGGGATAAGAGGCCGGGACTCCAAATGAGAATGAGAATGAGAATGAGAATGAGAAAGCTCCCCGATTGAGATTGAGTTTGGCTGGTACACCAAAATTACCAATTACAACATTATAAAGTATTTTGACTCTCAATAGTTTGTTGAAAACAACAAATATCTAAAATAAACATATTTCAGAATGGCGAACGAGCAAAATGGCATTGATAGCCTCGGTGCTTGCCTGGTTGACGGTGATTCTCGAGATGACTCCGTTGTCATTATTTGCTAAAGTGATTACAGGTAGAATTTGGAGTTTAGTTTTCTATGAGGTCAGCATCATGGTCTTTTTCGTAAACCTAGGCGAACGAGCAAAATGCAACCTAGTAAAATAAAAATTTAGGCCCCGATCAGCGAAGCACTTGTATGTTGTTTTGGGGTGATGAGTCGATCTTCACAAAGTTGAGCTCTCCGTCTTTAGAAGACGAGAATCAAGAGTTTGTTTTATTTGAATTAAACTCAGGCTTATTAGGATGTGAATGTGAATCAAAGACTAATCAAAGTTCAAAGACAAAAGAACTTTTCAGAGCTTTACTTGAAACGGTGATGGAAATGCAGAGACAGACGTTGTTTTCGCGGCGATTCTTCACAACATACACATTTGCTCTCAGTTATTTGATACCTTTGATAGGTAGGTGTTTTGATGCCTTTTTTTGGTGATAGAAAAACTTTATTTCGAATTTAGATCAGCCTTTAACAATTCCATTTTAGCAGTGTGGTACTTTTATGCGAATATCATCGCAAAGCTTTGGGCAAGGCGGCGAAATTTGTGGTCGAGAAAGGAAAGCATAAAAAGAACGACGACAAAAGTAAGCAATTTTGAGAAGAGTATTGAAAAGATTAGCTAAATAGCTCTGCTGATATCATGAACAAATATAAATCAATCCCAAATCCAGGTGTCCATTTTGGGACTCGCGATCGTCGTCTCGTACACTCTTTGCTTTCTTCCATTCTGGGCCCACACTTGGTCCATCGAAATGAATATGGAATGGACAAAGTGCGGAATTTTTTGTATTATCAACAGCATTTGTATTTTCGTATTATTTTGTATCATCTATATACAGTACTGGACAATGAAATATCATATTTGAAAAAACACTTTCGCACTTTCGCGCGTCTGTAACTCCCTTGTCTTTGAGTTTAAACTATTAGCGTTATGCATTTTCTAAAGCTCTTTTCAAGGGCTACACAATGGTAATATTAATATTTAGAAATACGGTAAAGACAAGGGAGTTACAGATGCGCGAAAGTGCGAAAGTGTTTTTTCAAATATGATATTTCATTGTCCAGTAGTGTACTTATCTAATCATATCTTTCAGAAACCAAGTGCTAAAATTGGCCGTCTCCTATGCAGCTTTTGCTCTTCAATATCTGAACTCTGCCGTGAACCCGTTTCTCTACGTTTTCCTATCAGATGCTTTCAGGAAAAATGTAAGTGCATTATCAGTATCAAGCTATCAAGCTATCAAGCTTTTTCTACAGTATCAAGCTGTTAGTTTTTCTTTCTTTATTCAAAAGTAATCTCTTTTCATCCTTTTATTTTATCTAGATTTCGAGACATAGATCCTGGGGTTCCAGGTCTGTACGTAGAAGTGTGCAATCGCAAGACCCAGTAAATTTTTTCAAAAGAATTTTGAGTGCTTTGTTTGAAATTGCCCAGATGAGGTCACCTTTGCTATCCTTGCGCTTGTAAAAGACAAAAAGAACCTATGATTTTCAAAATTTTAGGTGATGAGCATGGTTCGAACGGGTACACCGGCTGTCGTGTTTGCAAAAAGGCCATCAAAGGGGTCAAAAGAAGGAGAAGGGGCACAGTTAGTACCAAGAACTTTTGTCACTGAAGCATAAGCTTTGTAACAAAACTGGTGACACACTCTTTCTGGTGCACTAATAGAAGAAAAAAGTATGTCGAAAGTGAATTGTTGATGAATCCCCTCTTTATCTAACAACATTTGGCTCTTGCGTAGTTCCCAGGTATTTTAAACGGGTCGTCACACTTTGAAGGCCTATAACTTTGTCCAGAGATAATATTTTTGTTAACTTTTTCTATCATTGTACAGAGGACAATTCAGGCTTTCAAATGATACCAAATAGAGCTTGACTGAATTTTTCTTTCCCATGCAAACCAGGCGACATGACACCCAAGTCGGATAGGCCTCATTTGCTCAGAGTTGGTTCTGATTTTCTTCAACTGGATTGTCCAATCAAGCTCTATTTGGTATCATTTGAAAGCCTGAATTGTCCTCTGTACAATGATATAAAAAGTTAACAAAAATATTAGCTCTGGACACAGTTATAGGCCTTCAAAGTGTGACGACCCGTTCATACCCGGGAACTACGCAAGAGTCCGACATTTTGCTATCAAGCAAAAGGCTCAATTGTCTGCTCAAAGATTTCTTCTGTCAGATTTTTTAATTTACGACTTATCCTTATCATTATTCCAAAATTTTCCCCAGAAATCTTATTACTTTATTTGAAATGATCAAATTTATCAAATTCCGGGTTTTCCAACGATTTGTCTCTTGTTTTCTTTTCCAAATATCTCTTTAACAATACTTATTTCTCTCACGGGTGAACTTTCAACCAAAACTCCCCCAAAATGTACTAATGTTTACCGTGTAATGATCTGTGATCTCTTATGATATACATGGATATTGTATTCATCTAAATAAATAGATTTTGATTCAAGATAAACTCTTTATTTGATAAACAATACGCTTAAAAAGCCAGATATCGTCAAGAATGATTCCCTACACAGAAAGAGAGGAAAAACAAAATAAAAGAGTGATTGGATGAATCGACCATTCCCAGAAGAGTTTCCATTACCCGAGGAGAGCGATCAAGACTGCAGCACGTCCAAAACCATTGTATCGCCAATGAAAAAGAGAAAATAATGAAAGGAATTCAACAAATATGGGGATAACAAAGAAAAAGATTAGAAGAGAACTGGATGGATTGATTGAATTGATGGAAAGCTGATGGGGAATCCCGTACAAAAATGAGATGAGACAATTTGGATGAATTGAGTGGGGAATTGAAATCAAATTGAAATGATCACAAGAAGACAGGTCGAATGATCATTTCTCGTTGATCTTTCTTCTTTCTTATCGGTGAGTAGGAAGAGCTTTGATCTGTGAAAGCTATAAAAAGCTATACAGTAGCTATACAGTAAGCTTTTTCAAGAAAGACCAACGATCCATTGGATATTTTCTAGGGACTAGAAACGGCTATTTGCTCTAGAGAACTGAATTTAATATAAGGAAGAAAATCAGAAGGAATTGAATTGAATGAGTATTCAATTTGAATACTCATTCAATTTGATTTTCCGTTGATCAATTTCCTTTTATCATTTTGGACCCTTAAACGGTGATTAAACGGTGATTTCTTTGAACTTTAGCACCCTTATATTTTTAACACATTCGCGACGATGCGGTTCACTGGCCTAATCTACTATATAGTTATCGCACGCCAGAGCTGAATACCTTACCTTTTAACCGATAGAGCAAGCGTAATTACGGAGACGTCTGTCTGTTTGTCTGTCCGTCTGTCTGTTTGTCTGTCCATCCGTCTGTTTGTCTGTCCGTCCGTCTGTTCGTCGTTTTGTGCGCAAGCGCGACGCTCCGTAATTACGTTTGCTCTATCGGTTAAAAGGCGAAGTATTCAGCTTTTGCGCGCGATAACTTGCTCCCAGGGGTTATCGGCTATGGGGAATCTGACTTTTAGGTTCATTTTTAAAAAGGAGGCGGGGCTTAACATGGGTTACGGTAGTTTTAGTCATTTGAAAGAAAGAAAGAGCGTCGCCAACGGGAAACAACAAGCGTTTTCCGCTTGTGACGATTATTTTTTGGTGTCAACACGTTTTTAACCACTTTTGTTATTTATCTCGCCAAAAAGTTCTCAGTACTTTGTACTAGTTTTCAAGAGGAGATTCAGGGCTATCGAATGACCATAATAGTTTGGTTTATCTTTGAATTTTCACCAAATTACCAGCAAAACAGTAATGACTACGCGACTCTACGCCAAAATCTCGTCGTCGCGAATGTGTTAACGGTAAATACCGGTGGGACAGAGAGATTTTCTAGATAAACATGAGGTATCTATGACCTCGTTGAGAGAATTCAAAAATTGCTAATAACAAAACAAAGTAAAAACATATGGGCGAACTTTCGGGGACGGCTACAGCTGGACTCGTATTGGGTTGGTCCGGCTTTATTGGAGAGATAAAAACTAATTTTGATTCTTTTTTTTTAAAATCTCCAATTCAGCCGATTCGAGACAATATCAGCAACAAATCAAAAGATAAAATTCGCAAAAATTCTCCGTATTTCAGTGTATGACGAGTTGTTTTAATGGGAAGGGAAAGAGTGGCACATATGAGCTTGCAAAAATGATGGAAATAGAAAAAAAAAGACCAGAATTTGAAAGGAAGGGTGGCAATCAAAAAAATTAGAGCAAAATCTGGAGAGGAATTGATAATCGAAATAAAAAAGGAAACATTTTCGAGCACAAAGCAGGAGCAAAGCATGCACACATCTTTGTCGGATTTGGAGTTACAGTAAAAGATTGAAAGAATCAGATTTCTATTTCTAGTAAAAGAAGAATCACACTTCTACTCCAGTTTTCCTCCAAAAAAGTGCCTGGCCAAAATATAGAAACTCTGTGGAACCGTAAATTTTCGTTTTATACCGGAATTGGAACCAATGTTTTTTTTGAGGGCGGGGGAAAGCACCCGACGGATTTCATGGTATTGAAAGTGGAAATTGAAGAATGGAAATGATATAAAATGATATAAAATGAATGATCTAAAAGAAGAGATGGGGGAAAGAGGATATCCGACGAGAATTTCATCTTATTAGAATAAAGGGACGAATCTAGCAATTGCAGGCCAGCTAGCGATTAAAATTGGTCGAGAATCGGTGGACAGAATCTGAAAATTAGCTTCTGTTTACAGTTAACAGAACAGTTAACTTCTGTTTTATACTACACATAGTACTGACGTACTGTACATAATACTGACGTACTGTAGATAGTACCAGTACTATGTACAGTACGTCTTGTTTATTATAGATCTTTATCCGAGATAACTCACCTAATATCATTTTCCTAGAAGTGGTTCGCTCAGAAAGTTTATTGAAAGTTGAAGAAAGAGTGCGAAATAACCTGAAAATCTTTATTACTAAGCATCAAATTTCATAACAAACCAGTTTCTTTTGAAGCCGCATTGATGCAGAGACAATAAAAACGACGAATTACACGACGAAAAAACAACGGCTCATCACCAAAAGTTATCAGCAAGACTGGAAATGGTTATATGTATTTCATGTGTTAGAAAAAAAAACGATAAAAAGAAATGCAAAAGGAAAAGAGTGAAAAGAGGGAAAAGCTAAAGAAGTAGGTAATTAAACCAAAGATTGAACTTTTTCAAGACTAGACAGGAAGAACTTGACGGTCAGACTGCCGACTCATCGATTGGAGGAAAGCGAAACGGTCGCGTGACGGCTGTCTGCTGGCAAAAGGCCAGATTTTATCGAGAGAAAAGATAAAGAAGATGAAAGAGAAGTTAGAGCGGAAAAAAGAGAAAAGACCGGATTGGTTCCTGGGAAGAAAAAAACGGGGGAAGAGTGGGTGGGGCAATACCCGGGAATTCCCCTTTCATTGAGAGAACTCGTCACTGCTTTGAGTGAAGAAATCCCTGCAGGCGTTTCAATTTCTCTCAACTCTTTAGAGAGGGGAGATCGAAGAGCAAAAAGTTTATTTTCAGAACATTCAAAGGGATTTCCCAAAGTGCTCAAAGGGAATCATTGTCGATTTCTGCTTATGAGGAGCATAAATTGAATTTTGATAGCTGGAGGACAAATTATGAGTATCGATGATTTAAGCATTAAAGACTAAAAGGAACTTTTAATATAGCTGTAGATGCGGATGAAACTGGTTAAAAGATTATCTCTGAATTTACATGTATTAGGTTGACTCATAAGTCTTTAGACACTTTTTTCTACTAGCGTTTTTAAATAACAAATTCACCAATTGACCTACGGTTTGCTCCTAAAAGAAGATGTTTAGCATTCACTTTTCTATCATTTCAAGCCAATTTGGATCTGTTTCCAAATAAATTTAAGTGCAAAACTTCGTTTTTCGTAAAATTCGGTAAAAAGCTCTGCTGAACGGTCTGAAAAAAAAAAAGAAAAAAGCTCTGTTCAGCCCTGAAATTGGCTGAACAGATTATCCTGAAAATTAGGCTATATACTTAACTTTTTGCGCTCTATCTTTTATCTATCGACAGAAACATAGGTTTCTCGAAACCAATGCGCCTAAATTGCGTCTTCGGGTTGTCGCCTTTTTTGACTACTCGACTTTACGCACCCATAAAAAACCGTAGACAAAAAATTTTCATAAGATCCGAACGTTATTTTGTAGAAAAATAGTAGGCCTTTCTAATGGACCCAGTGGTAAGTCAATTCGTCAATTTTTCATTTATAAACGTTAGTAGAAAAGAGTGTCTAAAGACCTATGGGCCAACCTAATACATTGAAGGCAATAGACCTGCCTGTAACGGTCATTTGCCAAAGGGTGCTTGCAGAAGAAAGTGTCTGCTTCTACATACAGTAACCCATGTGTTTAGATTATTATAATAGTAATCTGTGGTGTGCATGTAAAAAATAGAACTTTTCTTTAAAAATCAACAATTCAAATGACTACAAATCGGCATATAAGTGGAGTCGATGAAGAAAGTAACGTACACAAAATTGAAACGAAGAACCAAAACGATATCACGATAGAATTAAACCAGTATTCAGGAGTTCCAATGTGTTGTCATCAAATAGTACTAATTATAGAAAAGATGATACAATAGAAAATAGAAAAAATGATACAAGTGAATGTTTATAAATTGCTTCTGGAAAACATTTAGAGTTCTGATTATATTCTGTCGAATCAACAAATGTAATTAACTTTCCGATGAGCAGTAAAGGTTTTGAGAAGAATGGAGGAGAGTATACGGGGTATCGGATTTGAGCTTTGGTAGAAAAAATTAGGGTAAGTCAATAAGGAAAGAAGTGTTCACTGAGTTTAAACAAACCTCGTCATAAAAAAAGAATACAGAATGAATTGAAAATACCTAACAAGAGATGAAGTGAGGAAAATGATGTGGCGAATCAATGGCGTTCCTGACCACTCCAGCTGAAATTACAAATTATTGTGAAACTTTATAAATATCTCATCCTCTTGTCTTTCAGAACTTTTTATCAACTTACGTATTATGATCAGGATGATGTGGGGGTGTACACGGAGTACATGGTGGCCCTTCTGTCCCTTCTCTCCTCAAAATGGTGACTGGCTGTGAGACGAGAACTCGTTGCAATTGAGCTGTCAACTCAAAAGGACTTGTCAATTCGGCAACCGGAGACTAAATTCGAATTCTGAAGAATCAATTTTTGATTGAAACCTGTGAAGTGTCTTCTTGCATTGTACTATCTCGATTGACGCTACTCCTCTGAAATTGGGAAAAATCGAAATTGAATCGATTTCAGAATCGAAATTGATTTACCGTTGATTCATTGTTGAAAGGGTTGAATGATTGTCGAGTATCAGTGAAGGGGATTGGCTAAAAGGAGATTTTTTATAATACACGAATTTTACTCACTCCAATATCACCAAAATTTGAGAAAGGCCGGGGATTGTTGTCATTAAGTGGAGCAGAGGCAAGTTGTTGAGTGATGTCAAGGATTCCGAAAGCATCAACAGAGATGATACACCAAATTGATTCTGAAAAGGAGTTGTCAAAAAAGTTTGCTTCCAAGAAAGTATTAAAACTTGAAACCTATTTGAAAAGTGATAGTAAACCTTTGTTTAATCTACTATATACTGTTTAATCTAATATATACTGTTTAATCTACTATATACTGTTTAATCTACTATATACTGTTTAATCTGCAGTGTCTGTCTGTTTGTTTGTCTGTACGGGCATTTTCTCGGCCGTGTTTTGACCAATAAAGCTAAAGCTTCTTTAGAAAGCCTTCTTTATTTCGTAGTTGTGTGATTTAAAAACAAAATTTTAAAATCGAAGTTCAGTGAAACACCAGGGAATCGAACCCGGCCCGAGGGCTGTAGACAGGCGTGCTCTCGACTGTGCTACGGTGCCAGACGTATGCCGTATGCACCAAAGCATCCAGCCAGAATTTCCGCTGGTTCCAAATAAATACGAACCTCCGATGGGTACCCTTTGTGGACTGTTGAGTTGCCATCGTGATTGATATATTCCGGGATCTGATGGTGAAACCATTTCCACAGATACATCTGCTTCTCCTCCAGGCACCACACAGGGAACATCCACTACTTCACACGGAGTCATCCTTTGGCCTGAAAAAAATGGTTTGTCATCAAAACAAAAATGATGACTAATAGGCATTTTTTGTTCAGAGCAAATTTAGAGCTTTTCATAAGTCATTTCCTTTTATCATCGTTGGAAGATTGAATTGGTGTGCTATTTTTTTTTTCCACTCACCTTCCATAAAACAAATGAGTGATCCGGGTGGCCAAATGACACTACCCGTGTTTCGAACTCTCCATGTTTTCGTGAATCGTGTATTTGGTGGAACGCTTTCACCCTGAAAATTGTATTTTAGAGATTTTTAAACTGCGGAAAATTGTATAATTTACATCATGCCGTCTACTTATTGTTTTATCTCCCTAATTCTTTTTCAAAAAAGAAATCTCAGAACTTTAAACACAAGTGAAATGAGAAATTCCTTACAAAGCCCCACATTTGCATTTAAAGCGCGCTCTTTCAATTAGCAATTGGCATCAATGCCATCAAATGTATTTTTTCTTTTAGCCTTTTCACTTTTTCATCTTTCACTTAACTTTATTTGTTTGCCCTCACCTCCCCTATCGTGACATCTTTCACCAATCCCATGCTCATTAAAGAAATATTCGTTTCAGCCAATAAATGCGCATTGTTTGAGATACCATAATCGTAGAAAGCACCAAGAGCGGATTGAAGATTCCTAAAATCATGTTCACTGCTCTTTCTGCTTACCAATTTATTTTCTGTTTACGCTTACCAATTACCAAAAGCTTACCAATTTGACATATCCAAAAAAAAGGCACATGTTTCCGGGGTCAACGAGTGGTCACCGATAATTTTTTGAAATTCTCGTACTAGCGCCTGAAATTTAAGCATTTTAGCTTTTTACCATCTTTTCTTGCTTTTAATTTCTACCTCTTTATCATTTGTGACCATACAGCTCATCTGTTGAGATAAAATATTATCGACCTCATCTGTTTCCATCTAAATTTTGAACTTAGAGTTTTACCTTCGAAATGGAGCAATAGATTCAAAAATATTTCGCTATTCTAACAAGGGAATGACCCAAACACAAGGTGATAATTTTTGGCAGGAAATAAAATAAACTAACACTGAAAATGAATACTGTTACAGTAGAATTTGAGAAACTACATATAAGTTGCAATTGCCAAAAGCAAAAACAATAATTTCCATGATAGATGTGCCAATAATTGCATCTAAAATTGATCACGTTGTGAACTTCTATCTATTATAAAGTTTTTCATGACATTTAAAACACTCAAAAGAGTAGCAAAAAACTTCTGTGTAAGCAAAAAGCAAAAATTTTGGTCAAAAGAGAGATCGAAACCGGGATTAAAAGTTTCAAAGTCCAACGCATTATCCCCTGCGCCGTCTGCTCGCAAAACGGTGAGACTCATAAACGCGCGGCCTGGCTTTTCGAGTAGATTTTCAAATTAGTGCTAACTTTGAACGCTTCTGAATGGTTCTGGCCAGTTCTGAATGGCCAGTTGTCTGACAGTTCTGAATTTGGGCAAAAAATAAGAACGGCATCGTGATCTCTATTAAAAAATTGTTTTGTAACCTGGGACCACCAAAAATTATCACCTTGTGTTTGGGTCATTCCCTTGTAAGCAACTGAGGGGTTTTGCATGCTGGCTCCACTTCCTGAGAGGACACCATGTTATAGCAATGAAATGAAGGGTATTCCAGTCGGGACCTCTTTAACTTCTTTCTTCTTTTTTCTCATTTGCTATCAGTGCTTTCTGGTATCGACAAGAAATGCCATTATTTTTTTCAGTGTCCTCCACGTCTGCCATTTGAGGATTCACAACAGGAAAGATGGTTAAAGATCGGCTCATCGAGATGCAGGTAATATTTTGTGATCTTTTGAAATCAGAATATCGAACTATAAGAATATGTTGTTTCCTAAGAATAGAGTGCGCGGTCGATGTCTTTTGTTTCTTTTAATCTAAAACAAACGGGGTTTTCTTTAATGTAATGTTGATAACACACATTCAGGAATGTTTTGTCATAACATATTCTTATTTTTTTCGTTTAGAAGCTGGCGGGCGAGACGGAGCCAAGCTCGTCAACTGATATCGGGAATGGAAACTACAGCTACCATCGCGAAACGGAGGCTTTACTCGAAGTAAACGAGAACTTTATGGAAAATGTAAGTTGTTTTAAAGGTTATTAATAATTATGTGACGATTTAGTTCTTGGTTTCGGTAACGGCTCAAAGAAAACAAATGGACGAATTGGGAGAAATGTTAAAGCGAATGCGGAAGATCGAGGGAGAATTGCTGCAAGCACCTGCTTCTGATCAAGGTTTGATTTTAATGATGATGATGATAAAGAGGAAAAATGATAAAGTGGTAAATGTATTTGATAAATAATTAGTTTTTAATTTAGAAAAAGCCCACGAACACGAACGGCTTATCCAGACGTTCAAATTGCAATCGAGTTCAATACGAAATGCTCTGCGACGTTAGTTATTATTTTTATATTTCATAAAATAATATTTTAGATCTTGAGAAAGAAGCCGAACGTCTTGAAAAGGAACATCCAAATCAAACGGGCCAGATTAAAATTTTGCGCACCCAGGTTAGCACTGTTATTTTTTAACTCTTACAACTAACTTTAACCCAAATTCAAATTTCGTTAATGACAATAGCCATTTAGCGATTGAACTCAAATCTAACTATGCAGTAACAAAATTAGCAAAAATCATTTCAGCTTGTCGATTGCACCCGAACCTTGAGCCACATGATTAACCAATTTCAAGCCCAAGAAGCTTCTTATGCTGAAAATCTTCGGAAAAAATTTGCAGCTGTTTTCAAGGTAATTTTCCATATTTGTGTTTGTTTAAATTTACTTACAGGTTCGTGGGATGCAACTATCGGATGAAGATATGGCCGATCTTATGCAACATGGAGATATTTCAGAGAAAACGAAAGGGGTAGGTAGCTTTGACAGTAAGTAACAACTTCAATTCCTAGAACCTTCTTAAATTGAATTACTTTTTTCTTTATTTACGTACTGTAAAACTGCAAATATCTCAAAGTTTAGTTGATTCTTGCTCAACGGGAAAAGGAAGAACTTTATCAAGAAGTGAAGTTGAGACGTGATGGACTCATCGAAATCGAGAAGTCAATTCATGAGCTTTCAGAGATGTTTGTGGATCTCGCCAATTTAATAACTAGTCAGGCAAGTCGAAGTTTTGGTTTAATTCATAAATGTTTGTTTTAGGGTGAAATTATCGATAGGATCTCGTTCAATGTGGAGAACACAAAAGAATACGCGGAGAAGGCGCGGCAGAATGTCGACGAGGCAAAGAGGTTGCAAGCTTCCACTAGAAAGGTAACTTGTTTTTATTGAATGCCCATGCCAATAACAATTTTTATTGAATTCCAATAACATAGGTTTAGTAGGTATAATTGCTAAGTATTACATTTAGAAGAAAATTATCGTATTCATCTTCATCGTCATTCTACTGGTTATTCTCTTCATATTTCTACAAGGACTCGTGTGCCATTTCACGCCAATTTGCTAGCCATCGATGATCGGTGATATTTTGATTGTTGGCTTGTTTTGTAATAGTTCCGTTTTTGTTCTACCAATTCTCTTTATAAATTTATCCTGAAACACTGTGTAGGAAAGATCGTGGTTAGCTCTAAAATCATTGACGATTTTTAAGAAAATTGGGTAAACTCCATGTTTAGAAAACCTACTTGTAGCCGGTGATATCCCATTTTTTTGTGAAAAGCACGGGAGAATCCTCAAAATTGCCTTCATTTGTATTGGGCTAACCCCCGCTTTTGAGGATGAGATTAGCGGAAAAGGAAAAACCACTAGCGATAACACGATTATTCCAAGTCGTTTATCTGATTTAACCTTTTAGACAAATTAAAAGCAAGTTTGTGGGTAAAATCTATTCAGGAATTCCTAAATCCGGGTAGAAGTTTGTTTGAACAATGGGGCGTACCATTTAGAGCCTTCTAGTTTCATTTGCAAAGATTCAATTTCCTCGTTCCTCGAAAATTTAGATAAATAAAAGATGTCTTCCTAGAATTACAAACGCTTCACTGCATTCCCCTACTTCTATTGATAATGAATTTGATGCCTGAAAAATAACGAGATATTTTTTGGGGACGGCTTAACCCGTGTCTAATGAGAGTGGGACCACGACTTTTCACACACTCAGATTTCGTTTCTCTTTTTTTTTTGCCCATCTTTTTTTGTGTAGACTCTTCTCATCTTTTTTAGGTGTCCAATCACACTTGTGTCCCAAATTTCCTTATATTTTTTATGTTTTAGGTATCATTATTTCTTATGAAAGCTTTAGTCATTTGAATCCTCAGATCATGAGCTACTCATTAGTTTATCTTGTCACACATCGATTACTGCTTGTATTTGCTCAGCGATTTCTCTTTGAATAATCTCACGATTCTTTTCAGAGTATGCCTCAATTTTCTTTCTCAGTGGCTTAAATTATTCTCTTTGGTTTTTAATAATGTTTTTGTGACGTCGTGGTTTTGTTGAAATATTGTGATTTTTGTCAGCGCGTGCTTTACCTTTTTGAATATCCTTTTTGGTTACAATAAATCCGGTTGCTCGAATTCTAGTTTTAAGGATACATCTTGGGAAGAAACTCGTCATTGTGCTCTGCTTTTTGGAGTGTTTCTTTGTGAGTCTAAACGAAAACTCATTACTTGGGCTGATTCCTAAAAGAAAAGAACAAGTTGCTCTGGTGAATTTCTAATTTTCTGAACTGCCCAAAAATTCTTGTTACTCGTAGAGAGAAAGAAAAGAAAGAGTTCATGAAGGGGATGGACGGGGCTTTCACTGGGGGAGTTCTCCATTCAGAAAGCTCCCGCCCACTTTCTCTCTAGCGAATGCCCACCTTTTAGTGGGAATTCTCAAATTACATCAACTACTGGTTTACCTTATTTGTGAAGCGTCTAAAATTATAAGTTAAATATGCGTTTTTTTTAGTTGCCACACATCCTCATACTCATTCCGAGCTCTTGGATAAAGGATACTTTGTTGTTTGTCTTAAAAGGAAACTTTTTGCCAGCTAAAGCGATCTGTTGATCTCTTCTATTCAAAAATAATCCCCAAATTCGCAGGTTTCCTCCAAAATGAACAGAAAATCCGGTTATAATGCGATTGTTTACAACCTATTTGATCTAATCTTCTAGCCGTTTTTGCGGGACGTCAACACCGATCTCCCTCAAACACGTGTTTTTCGTATTTTGACAAAAGTCAATAGGTGACTAGTTAAATATGGTGATGTGACGCAAGAGATTCTAATCCAACAAATCTCCGTATAATCTCCGTAAAGCTTTGAATGTCAAGGCATGCAGATTTAATAGTAAATCAGTTTTCATTAAAACGATTACCGTTTGTTATTCGCTTCAGAAAACGTGGGTAGTGAATGTGGTTTGAATCAACATTTAGACAAAAACTCAACTGCTGTTTTTTTCCAGATTTGTATATTTTTCTATGATCTCTCGCATAACTGAAAGCTTTATCAGACTTCAAAATATCCCCCTTTTCCACCCCAATTCATTCCATTCCTTTTTAACTCGACTCGTAAATATCGTGGGAGGGTCACCCCTCATTCCATCAGTTCATTCGTTCTTTCAATGTCCAAAACTCTCGTGGCCCCTTCTTTCCCCCGATTTCCAACCGACCACTCCTCAAAAAATCCCTTCAATTTCCTCTTCTTTGATACGAAAACATCAAAACATTTCTTCTCGAATCTTTTCCTCAATAAGCTTTCGATCCTCGTTGAACAGCAAACGAATTTTTGCGTGGCCATTCCATTAAGAGCCCCTTCCGTAGCTCTTTCCCAAACAATTAAGGAGAGATTCTTGGCAAGAATCGAGCCTCGGATGGTCTCTTTTTTTGGTCTAATGATGAAGAAGCTGATGGTCGAGCCATTCTCAAAAGATGACGCTCAAAACAACAGCCGGATGTCATTAAAATGGATGCTTTGTTTATTTTTCAAACAACATTGGCTTGCAGGGTTGATGACGTTGGAATTTTTGATCTTTTACCTAGCAGGAGTACGAGCACTTCTGCTAGATTCGAGCTCCTGCTAGATTTGTGAAGTTAGACCGAGCAACTTTTCTTCAAAATTGCTTTTTCTAGGGCAATCTTTTACGTAGATTACGAATTTCATAGTGGAAGCTTGAGGGAATGCGTTTTAGATCAGATAAACTTTGTCGCAATGCACAAGTCACTTAAAATAGACCCCGAAGAATCAAAGCTAATCAAAGCAAAGTCTAACAATACTTAGTGCTGAAACTAAAAGATCTCATGGTTTTGTTCAATTTTGGATAGACTTCGCATTCCCTCGCACCTCATCCTCCTCCAGCCATCCATCTTATTCGTGCTTCATTTCCCTCCTCCCACTCTCATCACATTCTTTTTCTTCTCAACTCACCCCCTCATTACACTCCTCTATATTTTATCGAATTGCACCTGATGAAGGGCTTAAAATGGATCTTTCTGTTTTCTCTTATTCCTTTTTTGTCAATTTATGGCTCACAAATGCACACTTGAACTAGACTAGATCCTCTCGAGTAATGTGTTTTCTAAAATTCACCTATTTGAGAAAAGTACCGTAGTCAAAACGTTAGTTTACATTCAATCTAGACATGAGCGCTACAAACTACAAGGTCAGACTATAAACCTTTGGTAGAAACGCGCAGAGATGATATTTTTGAAAACTTTTTTACCAAAAAATTGTGCCAACTTTAGGCTTTCGAATGACACCAAAATCAGGCCAAATCGTGTTTCTCGGCGCTGAGATATAACGTTTTTTCCAGGTTTATAGTTTCTTCCCATGGGACGAGACTACAAACAGCTATAAATGACTCGTTCTCGGAGTAAAAATGATGGATTGACTTGATTTTGGTGTCATTCGAAAGCCTAAAGTTAGCCCGATTCTTTGATAAGAAAGTTTTGAAAAATATCCATTTTAAGCGTTTCTGGAAGGGTTTGTAGTCTGCTCTTGTAGTTTGTAGTGTCCATGTCTAATTCAATCCGCCCGATTTTGATATTATTCGATGAGGAATTACAATCCTCAGTCAATGATATAAAAATTGGGCTGATCTGGTGAAAACTAACGGTTTGACTAGGGTGCTTTTCTCAAACAGCTGAATTTTAGAAAACGCATTACTTGAGGGGAACGTACGCTATTCTAGACTGGCTTCATTTCATTCTGACATTTTCCGAGTATTTAAGATCAACGTGAATTTGGTCCGAATGTTTTTCGATTCGATTTCGATTCAGCTAATGATTTCAATAAACTCTTCGGCGTTCTTTTGAACGGGTTTTTCGATTCAACTCATGATTCCAATAAACTGTTTTATAGTGAAAAGTTAAACCATTGGTTGTGGGCTACAATGATTTTCTGAAAAAAAAGGTAAAAACTAAAATGACAGCTCATTGAAAGGCATGTTTTGTCCAAAAAATTAGGATTTCTTGGACTTGTTTTGCGAATTAGAAAGGCTGCAAATTAGAATTAGAAAGATAAGTTTTTGTGTTTCGTGGAAAAAGAAAATGAGAGGTGGTCGCTGCCGGCCGTTTAGAACTTCCGCTTTGGAATGGAGACCCCTGCTTTCCTTCTCCAACTCCTTCCTTTTCTATCGTTTTGGGGTTGGCCTCTTTTCTCGTAACTTCTTTATTGAGACCACCTTGGGAGGGTTTTTTTTGAGAAAAGAGTGAATTTCAACTATTCTCCTTCACCAAGTTTTCTTCTTTCAACTTGTACGAAGATGTTCCAAAGAATGGATATCTTTTGCATTTTATTGCCTCTTTTTACATCTATGGGACGCAAATGGCTATCCATTTTATATGTTACAAGTTTTGGATATGATTGTCCCATGTTTGCAAAGGTTTTGATAGCTTCTTTAGCTCAATCTTTAGCTCAATTTTTGGTTCAATCTTTTGCTCAATCTTTGCCGGCTTTTCGGAAAACTTTGGAAACATTTAGATATTCATGGAAATCTTTGCAATTGACGAATCAAATTTCTAACGAAATGCCGAATGAGAGGTATTTTCATTTGCCCATTTACACTCCGAGCAATTAGATTATGAGCTGTTTGCTTGGGTTGGCTTTTAAGAAAATGAAAGGAAAAGGAAAATGAAGGAAAATGGAAGTTAAAAAATGTTAATAAAGAATTTAATGCCAATTTTATAATGTTTCAGTTCATGTCCCGGTTGCCACGTTGTTTCAATCTCGACTTCTCAACCAGTATGGCTTGCGAGACCCGTTTATGGACTCGCCGCACCGCTTATCATATTGGTTTGTTGAAAAATTGAAATTTCTAGATTTCTCCTAATCTCTAGGCAAATGGTTTCTCAGAAACTCTCTTTTATCTATTTTTGTCAATCACGAGTTTCTTGTGAAACCTGAGTGAGTGTTCCAATTAGTGAAGAGATGCTTCCTTTTTCAAATCAACTAAGGAATTGAGTACGACTGTAAAAAGCTGATATTGATATTGGGAATAAATTTGGTTAACTCTTAACTGATATAATGCGATCGGCTTTCTATTCATACATTGTTTTATTGATGAAATGCGGGGGATTGAAAAAATGAGCTCAGGATCAGGTTTCAATGCGCTCAAAAGGAAATATAACCGAGAAATGAATTATTCTAAGAAATATTGCAATATTTATCTTTTCAAAGAAGTGGGTGATGGTTGAACGGAATGAGAACTCTTTTGTTCAGTCAAATGATGAGTGCAATTGGCCAAATTAGGAGATTTCAATGGGGAAAAGAGGAGTTGGATCAGGATTTATCACGTAGAATATAAATATGATTGTTTTAAACTACAGGAAATTACTTTAGCACTTCATTGAAGCATAAATAATCTACTATATATAAAAGAGCAGCGTTTCTTCGCCCGTCTGTCCGTCTGTCCGTCCCTGTCCGTCCGTCCGTCTGTCCGTCCGTCCGTCCGTCCGTCCGTCCGTCCGTCCGTCTCCGTCCGTCCGTGTCCGTCCGTCCGTCTGTCCGTCCGTCCGTCGCCGTCCGTCCGTCTGTCCGTCCGTCCGTCTCCGTCCGTCCGCTGTCCGTCCGTCCGTCCGTCCGTCCGTCCGCCCCTGTCCGTCCGTCCGTCTGCCGTCCGTCCGTCTGTCCGTCCGTCCGTCCGTCCGTCCGTCTGTCCGTCCGTCCGTCTGTCCGTCCGTCCGTCTGTCCGTCCGTCCGTCTGTCCGTCCGTCCGTCTGTCCGTCCGTCCGTCTGTCCGTCCGTCCGTCTGTCCGTCCGTCCGTCTGTCCGTCCGTCCGTCTGTTCGTCCGTCCGTCCGTCTGTTCGACTTTTCCTCAGCCCTCTTTGAGCCAAAAAAACCGGTTTTTTAAGCTGGTTTTGAATAAAGTACAAAACAAAACTTGCTTGTGATCTTGAAAATTTCCAGCTTTTGCAGCTAAAGAGTTAACCTAGAAAGTTTTTGCAGAAAAAAAGCCAATAATAACATTTATCTAAACATTATAAATCAATTTTAGGTGACCCTTGTCACGAACACGCTTGTCGTAGTAGTCCTCTCTCATCGCCATCTCCGAACTCCCACAAATCATATTTTACTCTCAATGGCTGTCACTGAACTCATGACAGGTTATTTCATTCATTCACTCGATGATAAATTTGAGTTTTTCTTTTTGATGAGGATTAAATTCCCCCGCAAGAACGCCTTTTTCGGGGTGTAATTATCATTGGTGTGTGCAAGAATATGGCATATGAATTGCAAGGGGAAAACGAGAAGAAAATGAAGGGTTTGCTGGGGAAATAGGTCTACAGACGGGATCTGCTAGGAATAAGTAGACATTTCTGGGGCTGTTATTATCGGAACACGGCGATAGATAGCTAATAATATATGTATAATAAGCTGTACAGAAATTGTGGAAAGATTCTAAGAATTTCTAGCTAAGAAGAACTTTCAGATCCACTAGTTAGTCAGCTGATAAAACTTTCTATTAGCCTGTTTTGGTTTTGGTTTTGGGATTTATCCCCAGTAACAAGCGGTGAATCTAATTCGACGATCCGAAGAAACCCCTCAGCAACGAACCAATGACCAATTGCACAAATCGTATTTCGCGATTTCGAAAAAATTGAATCCTTGCAAAAAAAGTCGAACTCCAAATTTAGCCAAAGAAAAGAACGAGACACACTTCTTTTATAATTGAGCAAGGAAAAAGAAATATACAGCTGGCAGGGGTGCAAAAATAGGAAAGGAAAATAGCTCCTTACATCAGAAGGGAAAACTCGTGGAGAAAACGGAGATATTTTTAGCCCTCCGTGCCCCAAATTAGTTCCACGATGAAAAGAATCTGAGGAAAGGAAAATGGAACTTCGGAAATATCTTGAAAGGGATACAGAAAATATTAGGCTTTTCAGAAAGTCTTTTCGTTCCTTTTCACTCTCGAATTTGGTTAAAAATGAATCCAAATTGACTTTAAAAGATGGGAAATTAAACAAGAAACACTTTTTATTTAGAGCAAACGATAGGCTAATTGGTGAATTTGTTATTTTTCAACGAAAGTATTGAATAAAAACGATTAGGCTGCCCAGGAAAGACTTTCTGGACAGCCTAATAAAGTGCATAGACTCAATGACAGTGCATAGACTCAATGACAGTGTATAGGCTCAATCTCATAACAGTTTGCATTGAACAAATTACCGAGTTACATGATGCATTGATAACAACAACTGTTTCAGGTCTTTCCTCTTGTCCATGGTTCTTGTACTACTACACATTTGGCGGTTATCGAACTGATGAAACGGAAGGATTGAACGAATTTTGGTGCCGCTTTCATCCGTATTTCGCCGTTCATCTACCCACAATGTACAAACAAATAAGAATATTGCTCGAAAATTGAATCTTAGCTTTCACACAGCAGCCATTTGGCTTACGGTTTTCTTGGCGATTCAACGATATGTTTATGTTTGCCTTCCATCATTGGCCGTCAAACATTGTACACCGAAAAGAACCTGGCATATCATCATTTTGATCGGTAAATCCTAAAGCTACGAGCTAATGTATGAAAATTTAGTATTTCTTGCAATGGTCACAGAAATCCCGATTATGTTATCCGAAAGAAACGAGTTGGAAACGGAAGAAGATCAAACGCGAAAGATCTGCTACTCCAAATACGTTTACAAGGTAAAGAAAACCGGTTGGCTTAAGTGAAATTCATCTTTAGTCGATTCCATTGGATACTTTCAAAGCAGTTGTTTTGTGTGGAAGAGCTCTTTTTGTTCATATTGTCCCCTGTTTATTGTTGATTCTCTTCACCGGATGTCTATTTCGAACGATCAATGAAGCTGATCGAAAGAGAAGTGTTCACGCTATTTCACTCAAAAAGCCGGCTAAGGTAAGGACTTGATATTGAATACAAAATACAAACAAAAGACTGTAGAATCTTTTATCATTTGTACTTTGAACCCCAATTCAACCGATGCAACATTTTCTAGTCTGGGAACTTTTATACTCGAAAGATTCCTATGGGAAAGCCCTTATGAGGAAAGCCCCATTTGAGCAATTCTTTTGAGAACTCTTCATTTTCATGTTGCATTCGTTGATCAGAATACTCTTTTATTTGCTATTTAAAAAAGAAAAGAGATGGATGGGCAATAAAAGAAAAGAGTTGATTCCTCTCCCTTTTTCACTCAAATTGACGTCCCTAAAGGCCTAAAGTCTCCATTTTTTGGTCTCTAGTCACCCATAAAGAAAAGAAATTAAGCGAATGGGAATGTTCAACTTTTGCTTGATAACGGGAATTTAAGAACAACCATTGAACGATACAACGGCTAAAAGGTTGAAGATCTTGATTGGTTAAGAATAAGTTGGTGTATTAGGCTTTCCAGAAAGTCTTTTCGTTCCTTTTTACTCTCGAATTTGCGCTTGAAAGTGGACCAAAATTGACTTTAAAAGATGAAAATTGAACAAGAAACGCTTTTTATTTAGATCAAACCGGTTAATTCGTGAATTTGTTATTTTTCAACGAAAGTATGAAAAGGAACTTTTTAAATATAATTTCTTTACTTCATAGCTCTCGACAAGATGAAGCAAAACTCAGCAAGTAACTTTATTAATTCTTTTTAGACTTGTTAACGAGTTAACGACTTAGAGGTTTTTATAGCTTTTTACGAAAAACACGTTTTCCCTCTCCAATTTGCTTGAAAGTGAACCAAAATTGAATTAAAAAGATGGGAAATGAAACAGGAAACACTTTTTATTCAAAGCAAACCATAGATTAATCGATGAATTTGTTATTTTTCAACAGAAGTATGAAAAGGAAAGAAAAGACTCTCTGGACAGCCTAATATGTGACTTTTTGGCTATTAGCAAATCAATAACCTTTGGCTATCATCAAATCAATAACCTCTTAATTTTCCAGACTTCATGCGTTTCTTCAAATCGTCTCATGGCTGCAACAACTCGAATGTTGTTAGTGGTGATCGCTATCTTTCTTCTCATCGAAATCCCCGTCGCTCTCATTTTCGTCTTCCATTTTCTCGTTGTTTACTATAGAGTGATCACTGCCGCCGATTACAATATTGTGAACACACTTCTCATTATGAGGTGAAAGACTTAAATCAGCAAGCTATAGCTAGTTATTTCAAATTTAAAGCATTGATTTCAGAAATTTCCTGATAATTCTCACCTATCCGCTCAATTTTGCCATTTACTTTGGAATGAGCTCGTCGTTCAAGCTGCAATTCCGACAAATGTTTACAAGAAAGGTGATTGATCTTTTCTATTTTTTTTTTGCATTTAATCCTTGCTCTTATTGTCCTCTGAAATTGGATATTTCTTTTCCCTAAGAGTACGATTAGCTGATGTAAATGATTCATCGTGTTTGGCCAAGAAAGCAATTTCTCCATGAATAAAGAAGAAAAGAGAGGGTGTTCTGAATAGACAAAATCTAATACTTTCACGAGAAATGGAAAAAAAATTATTTCTCTGTTTTCAGGTTTTATATGTGGCTTCTCCAAATACGGGTCCTGGATGGCGGCCGAGATTTTCGGTTCAATTGATTGATATTCACAAAATTCGACGCCCATCGCAGTTTTTGTTTCCAAGAAAGGTCGGTAGCGAGTTATTGCTCAAAAAACACAATGCTACTTTCAACATTTAATCAATTTCAGAGTGTAAACGAGAGCGGTCAACCACTTAACAATAATCATCTCGATATCCCCACAAATCTTGACGCATTTTTATAAAACTTTATTGTAAATACGGTCAATAAATTATTTGATCAATTGGTTGGTTTCAATCAATCAGTTTGGCTTGGTTTCAATTTTTTGAAACCAAGAATAAATTGATATGAAGAAAAGGAAATGAATGAGAATTTAAACAAAAATTGGGACTTTTGCTCTTTTCTTAAACGGTCGGTCGTGAGGTTGAAGGTGGAAAGAGGTGAGAAAAAGGAGGACAGTGTGGGGCATGAGTCGGTTTGTGTTTCGGATTTGGACTGACTGCGAGATGGGGACTGTGAAAAGGAGGAGTGAAAGTGAGAAGCATTGAAGAAAGAACCATCTATTCCATTGTGAATGAAAAGTGCATGAGGAGAAGACTCTAGATCATTCCAGCAAACCATCAAAACTTTGATTTTCAGCAAAGCTCGCATGTTTAGAGTGTTTTCCTCATGATTGATGCGCTTTCTAAAGCGTGTAATGTATTCTTTAATTTCGCTTTTTAGGAAAAACGGTTAAATTATGTGTCAAATATTATTAGATTTTATGAAACTAGGTAAAAGGTTACCGTAAATACTGTAATAGTACCCCACCCCCATAATGACGGTGCGGAGTGTTGCGTAGTAAAGCTTTGAATGCGTTTTTCTCGGCACTGGTTTGTGCTACAATGCTCGTTTAGTTATCAAAAAATAGCTGAAATTCAGGGCTATTTTTTGATACCAAAGACGCATTTTTTGAAAGTACGGGCGCTTTGAAAAAAATGAAATACTAAAAAACTTTTGCGACTACGCGACTGTACGAGGGGGATGGGATACTATTAGAGTATTTACGGTAGGTTTATAATGTCAAATTTTCGGACCGATTGGTCCGGCCATTTTTCTAAAACAGCGGAACAAACAGACACACAGACACACACATATTGGGTTGATGGAAAAGTCCTGTCCGATTTTTTGGGAGAGTACCTTAAATTTGTCCAATTTTGATATTTTATAGCTCATCCTAAAGCTGAATTCAAGTTCACATGTTTTTAGCCTAGGTTTCTGCACGGAAAACTAACGAAACGTGAAAAAAGCCATTTTTTGGCTCTGCCGCCCTTTACTAAAATAGCTGGAAAAACTTTTAGAAAAGAGATATCTCAAAACGGTTTTTACCAATCGATCCGTCTTGAATTCAGCTTTAGGATGAGCTATAAAACGTCAAAATTCGACAAATTTAAGGTACTCTCCCAAAAAATTGGAAAGGACTTTTCCACCAACCCAATATATACTCTCTCGCTTATAATAAGTAGGATAATTCTAGTTTAAATCGAAGCGTTTTTTTGGACCAGAACTTAATCTAAAATGAAAATTATTCAATTGAAAAGGAAGATTAAAAAAGAAGCATAGAGAAAATGAACTAATAGTAAGAAGCGTTGAGAAAAACTTAAAATGAAAAAACGTTAACGCGTTCACTAAATAGTGCGATTCAGCGATTCAGCTCGATTTTAGCTCATCAGCCCAAAAGATATTCAGCTTATTTAATTTTTCTATGCATGCATCTCTCTATGCACCAATTTCTTTATTTGACGCATTAATTGAGATGAATATTGATTAATTGACCTTTAAACGATTAAAAAAATTTGTTTTATTCAATTGATTATTTAATCACGAGGAGAACACTTTAAGCATATTGTATTGGGTTGGTGAATTAAAAACTTAGGGACTTTGAACTAAAATTTGTTCAACATAAAACCATAAATTCATTCCAAATAATTTCCATTATTATTGACGACTTCTGCCCACTTTACAGGCAATTTGCGGATTCCTCTTTCGTAGTAGGATTTTGGTTTGTGTGTGAGACAAGTGTGAGTCTCAAAAATGGAGGACTGGAGATGTCCCAGTTTGAGCATTTGAGCACTTTCTTCAAAAGAAACCCATTTTGGTGTCAATGGAAAAGTTGTAGAGAATCAAAAATTAGGCTTATAGCCAAATTTCCAAAAAGATACACTCAGTAGTTTCGTCTAAATTGCAAGTTTTGTGAAAATTCGTAAATTTGGCATTTCTTGAAACCCAGTTTTTGAATTGTTCTGAAAATTTGGATATAAGCTTCATTTTTGATTCTCTACAACTTTTCGATTGACACCAAAATGGGTTTCTTTTGAAGAAAGTGCTCAAACTGTCACATATGACAATAACCGGCAGTTTTCAATTCACCAACCCAATATTACAGCATACCTTTATCATCCACTCTTCCCATAACCTTTAAATTTTTAGTTTGCCTATGTCCTCATTTATTCTAGAACTTCAATTTGAGATCGAATCAAACATAGACCAGTTCCCAGACTAACCAACAAAGTAGATCTCCTAAAAAAGTTGCCCCTTCCTCATCGAAACCGTCGGCTCTGATGTAAGCATTGAAAAAAAGAGGCCGAAAAAAGAGGCCGAAAGAAAGGCAGCCTTGTGGACTGTTCTTTCTGTTTGAGAGTCCCCTTTTTCTTTTTCTTTCTTTCAATTTCATCTATCTTTCAATCAGGGATCTGTATCCACACTCTGTCCGACCACCCCCAATGCGGGTCCCTTTTGAGAGGGTCTCCTCCATTCTTTTCCTTCGATTTGATTCAATCAGAAACGCCCGCCCACTATTTGTTGGCTATCCCCCTTCTCTCTTTTTCCTCTCTGACGGCTATCGAAAATTGCTTCAAAGAATGAGGGAGAAAACGAAGAAAGTGATTGATCTGATCTGACCGCCATCTTCGATAGACATTAAGACTTCATGTTGCGTTTGTTTAAGCTTTCGCTTATTGAGTGGTCTAGTTGCTATCTTTAATAGAAACTTTATTTTTCATTTTCATCACAAAAAATAGTGATTCTTCTTATCTGTTAACAGCTTCTTCTCAAATTTTATCCTTTTAGAATAAACCGATAGAAATCATGCTCTTTATTAAACGAAAGTCAAAAAATACAGGAAAAATTAATGCAATAATACTTTTGATTAAAGCATAATCATCAAATTATTTTAAGGAAGTGAAAACAGCTTAGTTTTCTGTCTTTAGTATGGCAGTTTATGGGTAAATTCATGGAAAACAACCAGACATTTGTTGAATGTTCAAAAGATGTCCAATTTATGCCCAAAAGAATCGGCTGCAATCTTTAAACATTCTTTAACCGTAAACAAAATAAGACAAAATTTATAAAAAAATAAGCGTAATTTTGCCACAGCCTTAATTTAAATTACTAGAGAAAGGCACGAAGTCAAGGTGAGCTTTTGTCTGGACACACAGTGCACAAACGGATGCTTTAAAAGGCTTCTTCCTAGGGTAAGTGAGGTACGTTGGTGGCCTAGTGGATAACGCATTGGGCTTTCGTCCATCAGGTTTCGGTCTCTGATACAGCATTTTGTTTTTGTTTTTCCGTTTCGATTGAAGTTTTACAGTCCTTGGCAAGTCATTTGCCAGATTTTGATTTTAGATTCGGATTCTCCTAAGTAAACTGCTACTAAACGTGCCCCGCTTCTAAGTAAACTGATTGTCCAGACAAAAGTTCACCTTTGGTTCGTGTTTTTCCCTAGTTAGCTGAATAGCTAGCCAATGAATAGCGTTTTAAAAACGAGCTAATCTCGCATTAATCAACGATTAATCCATTAAGATTGGAATCGTCCAACTTTAATCAATTGGAATCAATTGGAAAGATTGGAATCGTCCAACTCTAATCAATTGGAATCAATTCGAAAGATTGGAATCGTCCAACTTTAATCAATTAATTAATAGATCTGGAACACGTTCTAATCTGGTCCCTTTGTGATCTGGCCCCTTTGTGATAGCAAATATGTATTCTGTAGAGCTGTTAGTTTTTCAAATAGCCATTTGAGACAAATTTTGCCGCCATTTTGAAGCTATGAGACTTGTGATAGAGCAGACAAGCTGTCCATGCAAACACAAAATTTGCTTTTTTTTCAATTCTTTTCAATTCCCATTTCTTTCATCTTTCTGAACTAATTGTATGCTTCAATTTCTTTGCGGAATATTCAAATTGTTGAAACTTTCCAGGAAAACTTTCCCAGCTGGGCGCTCACTTTTTGCATGATGAAAAAGAAAGGGACGATTCACATCGTGATTTCTTTTCTCCCCACCCAGACATCATGATTCATTGCTACTAGAAATAAAAAAAAGAATTAAGAAATTTGTGTGAGGACAGTCTTGCAATCGGGAATCATCCATTGTTTTCCTTGAGATCGTGCCGATTTGCGTCATTCGTGAGAAAGTACTGTAGTATAAAAGAGAGGATATCCCAAGATCCTCTCTTAATCTTTTCGTCTCTCGATTTTCTTGCTATTTTCTCGATTTGAACATTTTATTTCACCAGCAATTTTTGAGCAATTAAGCTTTTAAAGCTTTCCCTTCTTTCCCTTCTTTAACACATTCACGACAATACAGCCCACTATGCTTGACAACGCATTTACCTTTGATGCTATTTTTTTCTTGTATTTGCGCTCGGTCTTGAATTCATGAGGGAGATAAACGACTTCTTTCAACAAGTTGTCCCAATGTGTCTAAAGCAATGGTAAAACATTAAATGATAATAGAATTGACCGTACTAATAACGATTATTTTTTGGTGTCAACTCGTTTTTAACGACTTTTGTTATTTATTTCGCAAAAAGTTCTCGGTATCTTTATACTAGTTTTCAAGTGGAGATTCAGGGCTATCGAATGCCTGTAGTAGTTTAGTTTATTTTTGAATTTACATGAAATTATTCGTAAAACAATTAACGACTACGCGACTGTATGCTTAAAAGACCACTGTACGCTCAAAAGTCGCTCAAAAGACGCCCAAAAGTCGCTCAAAAGACGAAAGAATGTGTTAAAAACAATGCAGCTGTACTGTTTATCTAATAAATCTAATGTTTTCTTGAATACGAAGCTATTTTTGTACATCACTAAAGCTTAAAAAACTAAAAGAATCCCCTAGGTGAATCTATTCGATTCCTGGTTTCCTTTATCAATCCACTCACCTTTTCACTGATTGTTCACACTTTTTACAGTCGTTGTGACCTTGATGTGCATGCATGCCTTGATGTGCATCTCAGACCGTTTAGTGTTAGGCCCTTAGTGCGCTGTTTGTTCTAAAAACGTTTCTAAAAGAAAGAACAAAACCTTTGCCTAAAGATTACGAGTTTAGCATTGGTGGTAAAAGCACGACCTGACCTCGGAATACCATTTCCTTTATCTGAGAAGACTCATAAAGATGCCTGGATCCGAGTGTGAAAAAGATAGATTATAAAGAAGTGGATTTTTGTTTTAATAAACCTTTTTACTTTTGATATAATGTACTACTGTAGCTTTTGCTTGCCTCGTGCTCGACCCAGGACCCTAAATTTCAAATCTGACATAAGGCTTTACTAAATCTTCTTTGATACAAATCTTCTTCGATACAACTCTTTCTTCAAATTTGCTCACCAAGCTCTTTTATTCTCATTCTTTCAACGAAAGCTTGATTCATACAAAAATCAAGATTACTTTTCGGATACAAATCAACGAATTGAATTCATTTGAGCGATTTCGTTCCGAATTTCCGATTTTCGTTTAACGGTGATTCACATGCAGACACCGTGATTTGTACGTCAAATTTATTCTTTATTTTTTTTGACGAAAACTTTAAAGTCGTATTTCTGTCTATGTATTGATATAAACTCTCACTGCTCACCTCATAAAAATCTGAGCGAAAAAAGAAATTTTGAAGAAAAGAAAAGAAAGAAATATATCAAAGAAGAAACAAAAAAAATAAGAAAGAGAAAATCGAGACGAATATTTGTTTTTCTATTCTTTTTCCATTGTTAAGTGAAACTCAATTCTTTCTCCACTGAATTCACAGTCCAACTTTTCTTCACTGTGGCCAGAGAATGCCAACAAAGGGTGACTTGCAAATAACAATGAACTTTGGACTTCATTGGACTTCTTTAGACTTCTTTGGACTTCTTTGGACTTCATTGGACTTCTTTGGACTTCATTGGACTTCATTGGACTTCATTGGACTTCTTTAGACTTCTTTGGACTTCTTTGGACTTCATTGGACTTCTTTGGACTTCATTGGACTTCTTTGGACTTCTGTGGACTTCTTTGGACTTCTTTGGACTTCATTGGACTTCTTTGGACTTCTTTGGACTTCATTGGACTTCTTTGGACTTCATTGGACTTCTTTGGACTTCTGTGGACTTCTTTGGACTTCTTTGGACTTCATTGGATTTCTTTTTGCATAATTTATTAACAGTTTTGCCGCTAGCAATTGGGAATTCTGTTGCCTTTATGCCAAATGATGTGCCCCCTGCTGGGGTGATCGGTTTATTTCAAAAGGATCAAATCCTAGTTGATTTACTTTGAAATTCACATGTCACTGGTTTCAGCTTGGCCTTGAATAGACAGAACACCCCAGGGTCGATCGAAAGAGGATCTATCCATTCATCCGTGTCCAATCCTTTCCTTTTCCTTTCCCTTTTCTTTCTCTCCATAACCTTCATAACCCATTTTTGTGCTTGCACAGTTTAACATCGACTTGTGCACCAAAACAATCGATTTAACATTGATTTTAAAGAACAAAACAAACCTAAAATAGCGAAAAAACTAGGATTAAACTTTCTAGATTTGCCACTTTTCCTTTTTCGACGAAACATTGACAAGGGCACTAGCTATTTTTTGTCTATTTACAGCAAGGGCGTTTTTCCTTCTCGATTTGGCCAATTTTAAATCTGGATCTTTCTCGAATGAATGATGCAATCTACCATTCATCGTACCCTTAAAGAAAAAGAAAAAGGCTACATCAATCAATGAATGAGCTGACCCCTGAGAAGAGGGTGTGTGGGATGCCCTCAGGCTGGGTCAAACACCTACTCCCTCGCCCCATTGCCCTTTCCCTCCTCTTCTTTATCCTTTGTCTCTTTATTTCCTTTTTGCGTCTGCTTTCTTTTTCTCTTTATGTCTCTCTAATTTCCCGCTCTTTTTTGTTGCGGGTCTGCGCGACGCGCACCATTAGAGGGCACCACAATGACCGACCGACCGGTCACTCATTTTTCGCTCTTTGCTTTTTCTAACATTTGCTATTGGCTTTTGCTATTGGCTTTTGCTTTTTTTGCCAGTATTCTATTCATTTGAATATTCAGTTTTCAAAAACAAGATCATTATTTGCTTGTTTGGCAAGAAAATTCAGTTTTTAAAAACAAGATCACGATTTGGACAAGCGTTTTCCGCAAATTCTAATTTGTTTACTCTTTCCATTCAACAATCAAATTGTTTATCTTTTTCTCTATGCCATCATTCGCTTTCGCCTAATGTGAACTTTTTAAAAGTACAAGAAAGTTTTCGAAAGCGACCAAGTCGAAGAAATTTCACAAAAACGTACTGTCCTTGAAAATCTTTTGATCGAGGAACCAATAAATTTTCTCCCAACTACAAAGTTTCCTTTTTCTGCTTGTTCAATCGGAATTCTTGGTTAAGCAAAGAAAATCGTTGTCTTTGTGCAATTTATTTTGTCGAAATCGATTTGAGAGCTTTATCTTTACAACAAATCTTTTGAAAACAAATGACTAATCGCTGAAAAGACTAAACGACTGAAATTCGCTTCCGGAAAACGACTTTACTAATACTTTTTGTAGAGTGTATTCTCCGCGATCGATTAAAGTTTGAGGATTAATCGATTAATCGCGATTAATCGAAACATTTAATCGATTAATCGCGAAGAAAACACTCTAGTCTGTAGGCTTCTAAATTTTGGCTTTTGACAAAAGTTATCTTTAAGCCTGTGCTATTCTCTATACTCTAATAACCCCAGCGCTACTCTGGTTTCTGGTATATAAGCCATGATAGCATTTGGAAATAGGGCAGATTAAAAACTTTTGCGCTGCCGGGACTCGAACCCAGTGGTGTACCCAGGATTTCGCGACTTTCAGTCTAACGGCCCGAGCTCCTCGAGGCTACTCATCAATTTCGGACCAAGAAATTGTTGAGTAGCCTCGAGTTTTAAAAGTACAGGAAATTTGACTAGAGGGTTTACCAACATGAAAAACGGTTGTCCATCTAGTTTTCGAGATTTTCACGTTTGAAGTTGGCCATGTTCACTTTTTTGATCGTGAAAATCTCGAAAACTAGATGAACAACCGTTTTTCATTTTGGTAAGCCCTCTAGTCAAATTTTCTTTACTTTCTGAAAATCAGAATGTTAGTTTTGTAAAATTATTATTATTATCAATTATTAATGCCTAAAAACTTGATTTATCGAAATTTTTGTACTAAAATGCAAAAATCTCGAGCCCCTTGAATTTTTTCAAAAAACCTTTTAGACAGTTTTGTAGCCTGAACTTTTTAAAACATATAATTCCTTGGTCGGAAATTGATTGAGGGTAGCCTCGAGGAGCTCCCGCCGTTAGACTGAAAGTCGCGAAATCCTGGGTTCGCCACTGCTCGAACCCGCGACTTCTCGTTTACCGGGCAACTGCTTACCGCGACCACAACGCACTTGATCTCTCTTACTCCAGAGGGAGCTAAATTCCCTCCTCCCTAGACGAGACAGTTACACATTGTCTATTTATAGGCCTGCGCTCGAAACTAGGTATGAAGACCTTAGCCAGCATGACAGAGCTCATCCTTCCGTGGTCGCCTTGGGCAGATCAAAAACTTGCGCGTCGCTGGGACTCGAACCCACGACCTTTCGCTTACCGGGCAACTGTGCTAGCCATTGCACCAAAACGCACTTGGCCGGGGTTACCTCAGAGGGAGTTAACTTAGCACTCGTTATCTTGCGACTATTTTGAATGGATCTTGCGCTCAAATTTTTCATTTCCCTTCTCAAACTCGGAAATAATTACGAAATTCTTATAATTTACATACATCCATTGCGTATGGTAGTCAAATAGTAAGCGAATAGAAAAGGAAGAAGGGGAAAGCCTTTCAATGAAGAGGGGGAAAGGGATCGGGGATCTGTTCTGCCAGATGTCAAAGGCACTCGAAATTTGGGGGGAAATTGAAGGGTTGTGACAGAGAGAAAGGGGAATACAGTCAAAATAGAGAAAGCGGCATCCCCCAATCCATTTCCGATCATTTCCATTCAATCACAAAAGATTAACTTTGATTTCTCGATTGGGAAGTGATTAGCGGTTTGTTGCAAACTCTCGTGTTGCAAATAATGGAGCTTTTTGTTCCCAATTTTGTTCAGAAATAAGAATAACATTCTTGCGTACAAACTAGCCTTTTCCAGTAGATAACTAGCATTTATCAGTAGATAACTACCCTTTATCAGTAGATAACTACCCTTTATCAGTAGATAACTAGCCTTTTCCAGTAGATAACTAGCCTTTTCAGTAGATAACTAGCCTTTTCCAGTAGATAACTAGCCTTTATCAGTAGATAACTAACCTTTATCGGTAGATAACTAACCTTTATCAGTAGATAACTAGCCTTTTCCAGTAGATAACTAGCCTTTTCCAGTAGATAACTAGCCTTTTCCAGTAGATAACTAGCCTTTATCAGTAGATAACTAACCTTTATCAGTAGATAACTAACCTTTATCAGTAGATAACTAGCCTTTTCCAGTAGATGTTTTCAGTTTTCAGCACTTCCGTATCTCTAAATTCTTTTGAAAGAAGAATCTAAACAAATTTCAGATTCTACTGGTAAACTCCAACAATTCTGTTATTCAATAGTACTCGTGATTGTCAAAACATCTAAATAAGATCCAAATTTTGGAATGATAAGGAAAGGTTAAAGGGGTGACGAGTGATCTTTTATGAGCTGTTTCCCTTTATTAGTCAATAAACTTTTTGATTCAATAGACAATGCTTTACTTTTCTCTTTTGCTGTAACCGTTTGCTTTCATTTCTCTTCATATTTTCTTTTAATAATATTGTTTTTGAGTTGGGATGCTGGGCATTCCATTCCTCGATGATGCCATCACAAAATGGTTTCGTCCCACAGCTTTTGATGATCCCGTCGATCGACTCAATTATTTTGTCACCGCCACACTTTTGGCTTTCTTCGCGGTGATGGTTTCGGCGAAACAGTGAGTTTTGAAAGAAAACAAGGGAAAACAGTAATATTGGGTTGGGGAGAATGAGTCGGCGCCGAAATTTAAAGAAACTTTTTGCACCCATAAAACCTTCTTTAAATACACGTTTTGTTTCATCAAAATGGTCCACTATTTCTTTACAAAATGGCTTTTGAGAGATTCCACAAAGCTTTTCTTTTTTGGGATTTTATGGATTCCCAAACACAGCTAATCAAAATGACAAAAAGTCCGACTCATTGCTTGAACAGTTTCTTCCACATAAACCTCCTTTGGTGTTTATATAAAAAAGATAGAGCACACTCAATTACATAAGTTACCAAATTTTCAGGAAGATCCCTCCAACCGTTTACTCTAGATGACAGTTTATCGATTTTGTGAAAAAATGATCCTTTGTTGAGTTGAGGCGCTGTTTGAGTTCTCTTTTAAATATTATTTTGTAGAGAATTAGTTACCCTTCTACGGATATCAAACGCATATCATTTGACAAAGTCTGCTATAAGTTTTAAAAATTTCTTTGATTTTCGGCGCCGACTCATTCTCCCCAACCCAATAGATGAAGTTTTAGTTGCCACAAAGCTTTCAGCTAGATTTTATTCAAGCATTTTTTAGATATGTTGGAGCTCCAATCCAATGTTGGATGCCAATGGAGTTCAAGGGTGGATGGGAACAGTATGCGGAAGATTATTGCTTCATTCAAAATACTTTCTTCATTCCATTCCATGAAGAAATTCCCACGGATACTGAAACACGAGAAGAGGTTTGATTAATAAAATAAAACAATACTGTTAATAAGCCTAAGCCCCCTATAGGAGCGTCGCGTAGTCTAACAAGGGAAGGCCAACTGACCGAGCTGGCCAAATGCGCGCACAAAGAACACTAGTCAACACTTCTTGAAAAACAGCTAAAGAAAAATCCAAAGTAGGGATCGAATTTGTGAGGTCTCGCTCTGGAAACAAACGCCGTACCACTCGGCCACTGCTGCATCGAATTGGATGCGCAAGGAGGCCGCTAAGACCCAAATGACCACATTTTCAGAGTCATAACAAAGCTTTAGACGTTTATAACTCCTGTCATTTAGCAAAAACGAAGTATGTATTCGGAATCAGCATAAAATTCTGCGTCAAATGGTATAGGTCGCAAAGCAGTTGACTGGCTCAGCCAGTTGATCTTCTCTTGTAACTATACAATCAAAGAACCGCTCATATCTCGACACCAGTATGTTTGTTTCTACGCAATTAGGTATCAAATTAAAGTAGAGAGGATGGGTGATTTTTTGAGACATAACATATATTTTTAGCTTTAACCAGCGCTTAGAACAAAATGATTGAAAAGTGGCAAAAAAACCAATTTTTCATCATTTTTCAATCATTTCGTTCTAAGCGCTGGTTAAAGCTAAAAATATATGTTATGTTTCAAAAAATCACCCATCCTCTCTACTTTAATTTGAAAGTAAGATACCTTTAAGATACCTAAGCGCGCAGAAGCAAATTTCTGATATGAGCGGCCTATAGATATGAGCGGTTTTTTGAGTGTAAACTACGCGACCCTTCTATAGGGGGCTCTATTAGAATATTTACGATGATTGAAAATCTTTAGGCTCAAATCGGCTATTACCAATGGGTGCCCATTATGTTGGCTCTTCAAGCGATCATGTTCTATTTGCCGAATTGGATTTGGAAGACTCTCCATCAACAAAGTGGTCAGTGACTTAAACTACTGATCTTTGAGTGTAGTAAGCTTGAAAAAGGAAACATTGACATTGACATTGACAAGTTTAAGAGTTAATTCAATTCAGGTATTGACATGCAAACAGCCGTTTCCGATGCGCAAAAACTCCGCTCAATCGGTCACTCTGACCGAAAAAGAGAACTCGCGAAATTGAGCGACTACATTGTAGATTGTCTCGAGTTTAAACAATCCTATCGATCACCATTCAGATTCATGTGCTTCAAGTAAGATTCAAAGAAATACTCCTTTCAACAACAAGTCTTTTTTACACATTCACTTTAGCATTGGAAAAGGTGGAGGCTCATTCGTGGCGATGCTGTACCTCTTTGTAAAATTCCTTTACGTGTGCAATATCTTTGGCCAATTCTATCTCCTCAACACTTTCCTTGGATCCGATTATCATTTTTGGGGTTTCCAGGTAAGCACAGATCCTATAGGGTGTCTCAAAATTATTGCAACAATTATTATTGCTCTTTATTTCTCTCTCATTGTCCCGATTGAGATGATTTTTATATTAATCAATAGAAAAAGATATGACGAATCTGATGATACCAAAACTCTTTCAATTGGACAATTGAATGCCGAGATATTTGTGTTTAAAGTTAGATTGTCGATTGAAAAGAGTCAAATGTCAAAGTTGAAATCAAATGTCAGATAACCTTTGAAATCCGCTAATTTAAACTCCTTGGATTATTTAATTTAGTCGATCTTAAAGGCAAAAATAGCTCTAAAAGATTTAAGCATTGGTTCATTGAAACACTAGGTGATTAGGTTTGAAACGAAATCTTACTTGACACCATGCAAAAAGCCATTGATGACTCTCTGAAACGATGAAATAAATGTGTGAATTCTAGTTGAGATCTTTTTAAACATAAACTTTATTAATATATTGCTTGATATTTTGAATAATAAGTTTATTGATTTACTTACTTTTAATGCACAAAATTGTTGCCTCAAAATTTTGTTTCAATAAATTTGGCCTGTAGATCAATAAAGATCTACAGATCTTTCTAATTTTCCTGTGGATTTTTCTAATTGATCTAAATGGCCTAATCTAAAAGATAAAAGAAAAAGAAATTAGATCTAAAAGATCTAAGTAGATCTAATTGACAAGTATCAAGATAGTAAACCAGTCAATCAGTCGACTTCTTTCAGACATTCCTCGATTTGATGAGTGGTCGTGAATGGTTGGAGAGTGGAGTGTTCCCTCGTGTCACTCTCTGTGACTTCAAGGTTGATAATTTTGAAATATAATATATTTAAAGTGAAACATAGTACAGCTAATCATTGTCATCCAGCTACTTCATCTCCCAGTTTTAGGTTCGTCGTCTCGCCAACGTGCATCGATACACAGTGCAATGTGTTTTGATGATCAATATGTTCAACGAGAAGATCTACTTGTTCTTGTGGTCAGTAGTACAGCTCAGAGTAGACATGGGCACTATAAACTACAAAAGTGACGAACTGTAACACTACAAATGCTTCTAACTTGCTTCAAATCTGCTGGATTGAGATGAGCTATAGCTCAGAAAATAGAGAATCTCAAGAGCTTTCAAACGGACCGACGCACACTCCAAAATATCAATCCTAAAGAAAGTTACAGTGGCTTGTAGTCCCGACTCGAAACGGACCGCAGTCGTGAGTAGTCGAAGCGATCGAGACCGGCTACAAACCACTGTAACTCTCTTTAGCGTTGATATTTTTGAGTGTGCGTCGGTCCGTTTGAAAGCTCTTGAGATTCTCTACTTTCTGAGCTATAGCTCATCTCAATCCGGCAGATTTGAAGCAAGTTAGAAGCATTTGTAGTTTTTAATGCCCAAGTCTAGTTCAGATTACAGAAAAACATTAAAAAGAAAAGCAATAAACATTAAGTTTGCAGGTTCTGGTTCCTCTTCGTGATGATCTCAACGGTGATCAATTTCTTCTATTGTTGTTTCCAGCTCATTCCATCAGGATCACGAACAAACAGTTGTCGGAGGTTTCTTCAGAAATCCATTTTTCTCTGAATTTTTATTCGTTAACTCTTCCAAATTTTATTTCTAGATGGTTGAGTGATAGCAAGGAGGATCAACCCGATCATTACAACCGAACTCGAATCATTGGAAGCTTTGCCCAGCGAGGACTCAAGCCTGGTGAGTACAAAAGTTTGATCAAAAGCTTTGGGTTAAAAACTTTGCTCCTCAAACGTGAATAGAGCAGATGAGTGCCTGTTTGTCATCAATAAGGTCAATGCCTTTTATTCGCGTTAATCTCCACTTGAATGATTGTTAAGAGGTCGGGGTAAACTTGAGAGAATCAAAGCAATAAGGGCAATAAAATTAGGTTAATGTAAAGTATTTTGAAACAAAAACAAGTACCTTTTTAGTAACAAGTACAATTTCTTTTTAGATGGAGTTTTATTGATGCGATTCATCGAGGGTCACGCTGGAGCGATTGTGGCTCGAGAGCTCACTTCTCAACTCTTTTCTGAGTATTTCAATGATGTGAGTTATAAAATTAGCATGGGTTATAAAGATAAAAGAACAAAGCCAACAAGAAAAAGCCAACAAAGCAAAGCCAACAAAACAAAGCCAACAAATAAAGCCAACAAACAAGGCCAACAAACAAAGCCAACAAGACAAAGCCAACAAGACAAAGCCAACAAGACAAAGCCAACAAGACAAAGCCAACAAGACAAAGCCAACAAAACAAAGCCAACAAATAAAGCCAACAAAGCAAAGCCAACAAGACAAAGCCAACAAGACAAAGCCAACAAGACAAAGCCAACAAAACAAAGCCAACAAGACAAAGCCAACAAGACAAAGCCAACAAGACAAAGCCAACAAGACAAAGCCAACAAGACAAAGCCAACAAGACAAAGCCAACAAGACAAAGCCAACAATACAAAGCCAACAATACAAAGCCACCAAAACAAAGTCAAAACCTTCTCAAAACATATACTTTCTCAGGTACAAACGGGCATCTCTGATCATTCAACAAAGACCACATCCCCGGGCCTCGATGATGGACTTCGCGAACAACTTTATCCACCCGGAAAGATGGGTTTATTGGAACCGGATTTTGGAAAGCAACAAATGGTCTAGAAAATCACCTTTTCTATAATATTGATAATGATTGATACATTTTTTCTATAATGTTTCATTTTTCTATTTTCAAAATTAGACAAATAGCTGAGAATAGCTAGCCATAGTTGACGATTTCCCTCGATCCTCATGTAAAACCTGGCCATTTGTTGGCTCCGGCTTTAAAATCTGATTTGGCATAGGGGAGATTTTCTTGAAAAGAATTCAGTGTGAGCACAAAGTACCGGCCAAACATTGTCATACTTGATTTCCTCACATTTCCATTTTATATATGGTTCCGTTCCAGATTTTTCCATATTTCCCCCCTATTTTTCCATATTTTTCATTAATCCCATAAATTTTCCTCTCTAATAACCCTATGCAACTGATTGATTCTCTTCTTTTTTTGTGCAATACGCAGAAATTTCCCCAAATCACTTTCACAACTCTTCTCCATGAATTCTAAGCGACCAAAGCACCTCATCTTTTCTATTGACAAAGTTTTCTGACTTTGATTCTACAAAAACTATTGGGTTGGTGAATTGAAAACTGAGGGACTTTGAACTAAAATTTATTCAACATAAAACTATGAATTCATTCGAAATAATTTCCATTATTATTGACGACTTCTGCCCATTTTACAGGCAATTTGTGGATTCCTCTTTCGTAGTAGGATTTTGGTTTGTGTGTGAGACAAGTGTGAGACTCAAAAATGGAGGACTGGAGATGTCAGCCGTCAGCCCAGTTTGAGCACTTTCTTCAAAAGAAACCCATTTTGGTGTCAATAGAAAAGTTGTAGAGAATCAAAAATTAGGCTTATAGCCAGATTTCCAAAAAGATACACTTAGTAGTTTCGCTTAAAATGCAAGTTTTGTTGCAAGTTTTGTGAAAATTTGTAAATTTGGCATTTCTTGAAAACCAGTTTTTGAATCGTTCTGAAAATTTGGATATAAGCTTGATTTTTGATTCTCTACAACTTTTCCATTGACACCAATATGGGTTTCTTTTGAAGAAAGTGCTCAAACTGTCATATATGACAATAGCCCGCAGTTTTCAATTGACCAACCCAATAATCTTCATCATCTTCCAAAACTTGAGCCCATTTGGTTATTACCAACCCAATACAATATTTTCAATTTCAATTCTCACAGAATAGTTGCATTTTACATATTGAAATGAGCTTTCTCGGGATTTCTCCAAAAAAATTCTCGGCAATTCTAATCTTTTCATCCATTCATCATTAAGTGTCATTATAGGATTTTCTCGATCACTTTTTCTTCACTTCATTTATGTGTCTTAAAGGAAAAGATATTTTTAAGTTCTACAAGATTGTCGTAAAGAATTTAGCGTTTCTGTAGAATAGCATTTTTGTAGAATTTAAGAAGATCTTTCATTTCAAATGGTTCTTTTCAATGCTCATTCTCTTCGATTTCTCACTTATTTTTTTTATTTTGCGACGACGACTTCAGGATACCATTCTCGGGTGGAAAACCAACGTTTATTTTCTAATTAATTGCTTAGCTCACTTTGTAACTTTACGTACAACAATTTGACAATTTCTTTTCAATTTGACGATTCTTTTTTTGTCTAGTAATAAATTCTGAAAACAGATTAGCCAAAGGAATGAAAAAAACAAATAAACAGGCATTTTTATGAACATCACAAGGTTAATAGGCAAAAAGGTCAGTCATACAGCCAAACAGACAGCAAAGACAACAACAGCTTTAATGTTTTTAGCTCTTTGGCGCATTCTGGTAGACTAAACGTGCCAATTTTGGACGGCGAGCGATTACTCAGCCACACAAAGAACACCTCATTTGTCATTTTACACAGCAATTCTTCTTTTCTTCTGAAAATGGCTCCTAGAAGAGATTTAAAGCCACAAATTTTTACCCGGACTCGAGGAATCGATTGGCAGTGTCAATTTTATTGAAAGATAGGAAATTGAACAATAAGCACTTTTTATAGGTTAATTGGTGAATTTGTTATTTTTCAACGAAAGCACGAAAAGCATGAAAAGGTTATCGTTTTTGGTTAGTTTTTGGCTTTTCGCTGAATTTCTTTAGCTGATAGGAGGGTTAGGGTTTGAAGAAGCTATAGTACTTACAATGAGCACAAGGCTTACGTACATACGTACATACGTACGTACGGCTTACGTGCATACGTACGTACATTCTGGGACTTCAAGGTGCGAAATATCAAAAAGGCATCAAAAATGCGTCTTTGGTATCAAAAAATAGCCCTGAATCTCAGCTATTTTTTGATACCTAAGCACGCATTGTATCATAAACCAGTGTCGAGAAAAACTCGTTCAAAGCTAGACTACTTTGTTGAAACCGTAGAGTTAACTCCTTCTGGAGTAAGGAATCAAGTGTGTTGTGGTTAGCACAGCTGCCCGGTAAGCGAAAAGTCACAGATTTGAGACCTGGCGGTGTATAACTTTTTGATTTGCTCTAGTTCCAACGTTTTTAGTATTTCATTTTTTGCAAAGCACCCGTACTTTCAAAAAATTCGTCTTTGGTATCAAAAATAGCCCTGAATTTCAGCTATTTTTTGATAACTAAACGAGCATTGTAGCGTAAACCAGTGTCGAGAAAAACTCGTTCAAAGCTAGACTACGCAACACTCCGCACCGTCATGATCGGGGTGGGGTACTATTACAGTATTTACGGTATGTATTTCAATCTCAAAGCTGTTTGTTCAAATTGAATCCCTATTTCATTTCAAATTACCAAATTTGCAGTCTTTCCTTAAAATTTCTTCACACGGGTCCAAAATTCCGAAAAAATATCCAATAAACTCTAAAAAACGAATGACGAGTCACAAATAGCAAAAGAAAATACTTTTACTTATCACCATAACCAAAAAATTTTCATTAAATTCTTAAAGCAGCCGCTCAGCAAAGAAATATTTCAATATAGCACAACGGAAAAATATGGGGGTGGAGGGGGAGATTTGAAGGTCCGTCATTTGTGAAAGTTTTCATTCGAAATGAAAACTTGGCCTCGAAAATAGAAAATTTGTTTTATAGATTTTTTTATATTATTAGGTTATCGTGTTGTTGGATTTCAATATGAAAACATCATGACTACAGGGTGCGGCAAAAGTTCTGACACTTTTTCTAAGAGAAATAAAAGTTTGACGCTATTAATCAAAAAAACTTTGGCAATATTAATAAAAAAAAACGATTACAAATTGTTTATTGAAGACAAAACTAACAAAAAATCATAGCAAATGTTCAAAATTTCCACTCTTGGCCTCGATGCACTTCTTCTCCTACTTTGATTTGCCATTCTAGAAGGCAAAGCTTGTTTAAAGCCCTACAAAAACATCGAAAGCTTGAAGAAATCACTGTTAAAAGCGTGGAAAAGAGCTCGATGCAGCCTATTTGATTGGCGTTGGCGCCTTTCCGAAACGCCTGTGAGCGTGCTGAAATGCTAATTGTGGCCGAAGTTGCGCGGAAGTTGCTGACAATGGTCGCGCATTGTTGAACAGTGATTTCAGCCCAGGCCCTCTTCAAAACGGCTTTCAAAGAATCCACGGAGTGAAATCTCTTGCCAGGGATGCTGACGATGGTCACGATGCAATGCAATGTCAGAAAGCAAGCTGAATAGAGCGTGTTCCTCGTGATTAAATGATTCATTGAGTTTGCGTAAACAAATTTTTAATCGATTTAAAGGTTAATCGATTTAAAGGTTAATTAATCGGGATTTACAGTCGTCCTCCGCTTATATGGAATTCAAGGGAGTGAGAAAAAAGTTCCATATAAGGGATAGAACATATAGAAGTTTCATATAGAACCCTACATAAGCGGGGTTTTTTTTGACTCATGGGAGTAAATGCATTCTATATAAGGGAATGTTAACTTATAAAGCCTTCTTTATAAGTTCAGTTAGCCTATTTTTATCATAGCCTTTATCATATCATAAAACCTTTATCTCGGTTATCAAATGATTTTCAGAAAATCGTTGTTAAAGTAAAAAATGCCTTTTGTAGCAAAAGCGGTCATTTTCAAAATTGATCTAACTAACTATTAAACTTTATTAACGCAACAAATTGAAGATAAATAGAATATAATATATTAAGACAAATAGAATAACGATAAAGATTACAACACTTTAAAGAAACTATCGACTTTTGTCTGTACACGCTTTTCAGCGACGATTTTCTCGAATTCTTCCTTAAATCTTTAAGCAGCGAATACAAATAAAGGGGGTGGGGGGTGGGACAAACGCACCTGGACATTTGCGCACCTTTTTTTTTGCTGGAAAAGGCCTTAGGCAAGGCCGTAGAGCTTCAAAAATATTTCCATACAAGGGAATCGTATGCGTAGATTCCGAATTTCGACAAATCAGACCTCGCTGACACATCAAATTTGGGCTAAAAGGCAAAAACTGCGGAAAAGCGTTAAGTTGCGTAGTTTTTGCCTTTTAGCCCAAATTTGACGTGTCAGCGAGGTCTGATTTGTCGAAATTCGGAATCTAAGCATACGATTCCCTTCTATGGAAATATTTTAAAAGCTCTACGACCTTTCCTAAGACCTTTTCCAGCAAAAAAAGGTCGCATTTGTCCCACCCCCCAAATTTAATAGATAAAAAGAGCGCTCTCTAAAGCTATTCAGTTAACGAACTGGGTATCACTCGACGCACAACGCTAATTTTGAACGCTAATTTTATCTATTAAATGTCAAATTTTTTTAAAACTGTTTTGCCCATCACGTAGCCAAGAACGCAAGGAGTTTTTTTTGGTATTACTTGAACCGCCTTGGTTTTTTGAATTGTGTGAAATTTGACGGAACATAGGAGCATAATCTAATCATGACTCACTCCAATTTTTCCTTTGACAAAATGAAATTCACCTTCTAAAATGTTTTCAATTTGTTAATTCCCCGTTATCTTTTCTTTCACGAAACATTTCAGTCATTTTCAGATTTAATTTCTTCTTCTGCATTAGAAGACTGCTTCTACAGAGAAGTTGCATTAACTTCTCTGTAGATGACATGTGTACTAGGCGGAAGA